AAAATGATTATTTTAGTTTAATAATGTCTATTTTATAATTATAATCTCAAAAAAGAATGAATAAAAAAGTATTTTATAGTAGGAAGTAGAAAACTGTTAGGCGATTAGGCAAGGTGAGCCTCAAAGGGCGCCTTGTCGCCTAGGCGTCGCCTTGACAACTATGTTTAAAAGCTGCATAAAAAAGGTTTTACTTTTGACATGACACAAAGGCCTTCAAGCAGAAACTTATCCAGTGAATACAGTGTGGTAGGCAAAAATGTGGGGCCTTCTTTTTTTATTGGAAACAGTAACTTCATTACAATATTAAGTACAACTGTCAACCCCTAAACAGGTATTGAGTCCCCAGTAATCTTTATTACAAAACTGCCCAAAACATACCCTCCCTCACAGTCCCTTGTTTAGCCAATGTGTCAACAAAGTCATTAGCTGATCTTCTTGTCCATTTGAAGCAAGCACCCATCTCCCTTGTTATATTGAGGATTTCCCTTATGGGCTGTCTATAAACCCAGGTTCCCAACTTACCTGATTGCAACCAACCAACCAATCAAGCACCAATCCCCGCCATTCCATTTCCCAATTCCCAATCAGTTGTGAAAAGGAATCTGTCTAACTTGCAGCAAGTGGGGACTTCTTGAAAATTTGACCAAGTAAAATTTGCCTTCTGAATAGGTAGGTCCTGCAACTCAAAGGTTTCTACAAAGAGGTTAAACTTCCTCACTGCTGCTAACTCCTCCCAAAGTCCTTCCCTTTCCTTATAAGAGGTGATCGGTGGGTCCATACACATTAGTTAAAACCGATTCCCAATCATCCACTCTCCTCTTCAGCTTTATGGACACTGAATACTTCCCAATTAACTCCTCAGTACAGTCCAATTCTGCATTATAAGACAGATTCCTGAAATTCTTCCAAAATGAACATCACAAGCATAACATGAAAAGGTTTTTTCTGTCCTTACAATTTCTTCAATCCTTATATCTGTTTAAATTCCACAGGAAATAGAATGCCTTCATTGCAGCGTTATCAATGCAGTAAAGCAATGAATAGCTGTTTTAGCCTCACTAACAATGTGATGACTAGTTGATTCCTAGGTGCTAACTAGTTGATAAAAAAGGATATGTTCTATATTTAAGATATTGAATCAATCTCATACCAAAATACCACTGATTCAAAGAAGCTTAAAGTTGGTCAAAATGTTGTACTTTGAAAAAGTCATAAGTTCAACTTGGCAAGGAGTCGCCTAAGGAACTAGGCACCCTTCACTGGGTGCCTCACCTAAATGCCTTGACTTGCAGCAATAAGGGCCTGTCTAGGCAACTAGGCACCTGGCTTGGCAACAAAAACGACAAGGCAGGCACCTTATTATAATATCATTTATATTGATACATCTTATTAATATGTATGTTAGTGCATTCTATCACATATACGCTTTGTTTAAAAGTTTTGCTACTGAAATTTAAAAGATCAAAGGATTTTGAGAAAAGAAAAAGAAAGAATAGAATATTTATCAAAAAAAGTAAAGAACAGAAGTATAGAGAAGTTTCTTTTTTTGTTTTTTGTTTTTTTTTCTCTCTCTTACATTAAATAAAACAGCAACTCTGCTCTTGCTTTCTTTTTTCCTCTTTTACTGTCCATCTTGAATTTTTATCATATAAATTGCTAATGGATATGAAATTGCTCTATTAAATACATTATATTAGTATGATTTTTCAAAATAATGAAATTAATATATTTAAAAGATTTTCATCTTTTAGATATGATTATTTGCAATGTTTTAAGAGGAAACTTAATATTATTATTAAAGAGAATTGCTATTTTTCCTATTAATATTCATGCTATGAAACTAGGGAACTAGCCAAAAGTCAATTCCTTATTTTATAAAATTCTTACCGCCTAGGTCCTCAGTGTTTCCCAAAATTGCTTAGATGCCTTGGCAACTATGACTCTGATATAAGTTATTATTTTCAAGTCATTTTGTTCATCATGATATAATACAACATCAAAGTCATCTTTAGTCCAGTTTATTAGTAACATACAGTATTCTAATAATTTTTAGTTTAAGTTATTAACCATATTGAATATCCAAATTTTATTCAAGTTCCATCTGATTTTACTCAATTCGTTTGCAGGCCTAGACATTTCACAAGGTTAACAATCTAAGGTTGATCTAATCCCAGCTGTTAATAATATATTGGTCCCAAATCATTTGAGGTTTTCCTTTTTAAAACAAATTCAGTTACAGGTTTTCTTAATGACCAGTAATTAACCAATTTCTGGTGACAATAATGTTGCTTCCAATGCTATGCAAAAGTAAAATAAATGTGTTCAATTTCATATGATGACCAAAATTCCCAAACAGGCTATTAATACATAATTCTTATATTCGTCCACAATTCTTATGCTCTTTTTATATGATGACCATTTTCTGTTAAAAGTGTACCTTCACTGATTCTGTGTTTTTGGCTGCTACTTATATTCGTTCACAAAACATAATTCTTATGCTCTTTTTAGTTTAAGCTTCAACCAAGTGCCAAGGGTCTAATATATCAAATACAAGGGCAATAACCCCCACCCTAGTGCAGTTCCAGTTTGGATGCCAAGTCGCACTTCAATTTGCAAGCCATGAGATACATTGCCACCAAAGTGTGGTGAAAAAATAAATTATATACTTAAATTCAGAGTAGGCCTAATCTCCAAAAAAACGTAGAATAAGAAAGTGAATGCATTTTACAGAAAGCAGAAGGGGTTGGTTCCAAGTCTACAGTTTTTATTGTTCAGTCCACCCCAACAAATCTTAGCTCCACCGTACAGTTGGGGTAGGTGCTAGCTCGGAATTGATGCCGGGGTATTTGAAATTTTGAATTGTTGTACGTCTGCAGTGGAATTTAGAATTCTGAGGTGGAGTGCAGTATAGTTTTTACAAGGAACAATACTCACATCGCGATAGATTTTAACTTGAGTATCTAACTTGGACCTCCAGTTCTGCAAGTCCTGCAATGTACCATGAAGATTTGTTTTAGTAAGGAGAGGAGTTAAAAAGAGAGAGGAACTAAAACAGAAAATTGTAACGAAACCCCTCGCAAATCACCTGCTTTAACCCTTGAATTCTACTTAGCAGCTCCGATCTAGATTCATTCAATTCCTGCAAATAAAATGGCCCTATTATCAAGAGCATATTTTAGTCAAAGTAAGGGGGGGGGGGGGGCAAAACAAACTCTCCAACTTACGGCAATCCTTGAGCTGATAGGGGTCATGTTTTCTTTCTTCTAAGGACACAAAAAAAAAAAACAGAACAGGCAAAGTCAGAAGGAGTAGAGCGAAACTGGGAGTTAGATTAAGATGTAGATCTGTTGCATTCAGGTACTATCCGGGCTGCAAGAACAAAAGAAAGAAATTGCAGAACTAACTGATACTTGACGGAGAAAGTTACCGAAGAAAGAGGAACAACGGCCGGAGCTACAGCAAGCGAAGCCGAATCAGAATCCGCCATTAAAGCAGCAGCAGCAGCTCAACTCAGTGGATATATGGATGGACGAATGGAGAGGATTGTTCTCTAGGGTTAAGGTTTCGTGTAGCAGATTTTCAGTCCTTGTTCAACGTTGGTGGTTGCTACTTGTGACAGTCTCACTGAGCTGAAAATTTAAATGAGGAGAGAGAGAGAGGGAGGGAGGGAGGGGAAAGGGGAGAGAGTAAAAGAAGAGGAGAGTGGAGATTTGTTGAGGGGGAGTTTGGTGAGTTTAAAATTGTGAAATTGATTTGATAGAAAGGCTTGGTTGGATTTGTGCGGGCGAATTGCAATTTCCGATCTATCTGGATCTATGGATTTCGGAATTCGTTGTGGGGTCCCGTTTTTGAATCTTCCGCAGTCCGCACCCCCACTCCCTGCAAATCACGTGAAAATCCCACACTATTCCCTTCGAATTTGAAAGTTTAAATAAGACCTTGTTTTCGAGTGAATCGGGATCTGCTATTCTAACATGATCCGACGCCGCACATCTCAGGCAAGGGAATTTGCATGAGCGTGCCGCCGTTCACGGGTCGGGTTGAGTTGGTTTACTATTTTTTTTTTCAATCGACCCAATCTGGTTGGGTTGTCTAAAGATTAAATCGAAATCGATCCTTTATTAAGAAAAACCGAGCTAGTTGGTTTTAGTCGGTTTGGGTCAGTTTTGGTTTAAATATATACATTTTTGAAATATATATTTCAGCTTTATATATATATATATATATATATATATATATATATATATATATATATATATTTCACAATATATTTATTGAAAATACATTTAAAATTGAAATATATATTTCGGAATATACATATTATATATATAATATTTCAGTGAAAATATATTTATAGATAACTTGGTTCAGATCGGTTTTGGTTTTTGACGTAACTGGTTCCGGTCACGTATCATATATATATATATATATATATATTGAAAATACATTTAAAATTGAAATATATATTTTGGAATATACATATTATATATATAATATTTCAGTGAAAATATATTTATAGATAACTCAGTTCGGATCGGTTTTGGTTTTTGACGTAACCGGTTCCGGTCATGTATCATTTTTTCGTGATGTGTCAATTTTTTGGCTAAGTACCTCGTCATCTCGTATGCTCCCATGTAGTCGGTGATTCAAAGGTTGAAGTGGAGCTCCCTGGTGGCAAACTGCCTAGAGGTGAGCTACCTTGATGAGTTGCCTGGAGGTGAGCTACCTTGATGACGAGCTCCCTAGTTAGTGCAACCCGACTACTATTGGCAGGAGGTGATCCGGCTACCAGTAACGACGGGAACTGAATTGGCTACTCCCTGCTGGCGATGATCTGCTCATCTTTGTAAGCGGCAGAAGCTGAGGGGCCTACGAGAACCAAATCAGAGAACGTGGGGGTGTTTACCTGGTGAGGTCACTCTGATGGCTAAGTTAGCGCAGTATAGTAGTAGAGAGCTTGAAAATGATAAGAGAATGAGAGAGCTAAAGAGCAGAGGTTACCCATCCCTTTTTTGCATCATCCTTGCCTCTGGGGGGTGAGGTCTTTATATATTAGAGTCCTCGTGGGTTAGGTGGAGAAGTTTCTGGATCCTAGTTGTGATGGGGCTGGCTTGCGTGTTAGGTGGATGAAATGCCATCAAACGGTAATATTGTCCCTTCCCGTCAGAACTGGGGAGTTGGTGAGCTAATATAGCCGTTACAAGTCACAATCCCGTAAAATGCGGGGTACGGTGGTAAGTTCCTCAAGGTTGTCAGATTGGCGCCTGTGTCAGGCCGCCAGGTCGGTGCCTGGGCCAGGCCATTAGCTCGTGAAAGAGCCAGGTCGCGCCAGGGCCAGGCTGAGAGCTCGTGCCAGGGCCAGGTTGTGCCAGGGCCAGGCTGCCAGCTCGTGCCAGGGCCAGGCTGCGAGCTCGTGTCAGGGCCAAGTTGCCAGCTCGTGCCAGGCCGCGTCTGCGTCAAGCCATGCCTGGTGGGACACCATCAACTTAGCAAAGGCAAGTTGTTGTCAAAGTGGTCCCGGGTGTCGCTTAGTTGTTCTGAGGTGCCAGGCTACATGATGGCGAGCTGCCTGTGAGTGCTGCATGGGGGCGAGCTGCCTGTGACGAGCTGCCTATGACGAGCTCGAGCTGCCTACCTGTCAAGGGGCTGCACTTAGTTGGCATGAGGTGTCAGGTGTCACAATGTCATTGGAGGGCCAAATCCACCCTTATCAGTTTTCATGTGTAAAAACTGAAACCGAGCCGAATTATCGATTTACCCATCTTTCCAACCCGAAACCGACCAATGGTGAAGAAAAACCGGCCAAATTGGATTGGGTCGAGCCAGGTTGGTCGGTTTGAATTTATTTGTGAACAGCCCTATCAGCGTCCCATATCCCATCCTAGTCGTGTATTGAGAACATCTCCTCATGACAAATACGAGAGATGTTCCCAATGCACGCTAAGATGTGCCTTATAGGCGTGCCAATCTGATGCCTAATTTGAGTTGTAATCGAGGCGAATATGCAATAGATAATCCTATCAAATTGGATGAGTCAAGGTAGAATAACGAGTAGTGCATCGAGTAGATCTGCAAGCAAAACAATGTCAGAGGCCCAAGGAAGGCACTCCAATGTTTAAGTTAATAACAGATGGTGAGATCAGTTGGACTAAGCTATTGAGAATGAGCTAGTCCGAGCCGAGGAAGAGGTGTGAGAGTACGAAAGCAAGTGATAAGAGAGTGAAAGATAGCAAACCTTGGGGGGAGATGCCTTTAAATAGCCGAGTGACGTAGTACACCTAGACATGCTCCTTGTGAGGTTTTAGGGAAAAGGTTGCATGTTGAAGTCTTTGGAAGTCTCCACCCTCCCCGACGAGGGTGTCTATCTATAAAGATCATGTTGGTGCTTATTCGTGAGGGATTATACTTCCTTAGAGGTTCTCACTTATGGGACTATCCGTCGTCCTTGGTATGCGGCGTGCTAGTCTACTAACGGGGTCCGAGGAAGTTGGATGGGCTTGAGACACAACAGCATCCACGTGGCGACTTTGATTGGCTGAGACACGACCCTAACACCAATCCCCTAGTTCTAAAGTTGAAGGAGAAGGGTCCTTGACTACTGCTACAATGAAGTTGAAGAGCTCCTGTAGTGCTTGGATGAAGAACTTCAGTATTTTTGTTGGATCAGTCGAAGTGTGGTCGGACTGAGTGAGGGCACCACGGTGTCGGTTCAGAATAGTTGAATTTTGACCGTTGATAATACGACCCAACGGTCATCGTTTCATCTACTCGAGGTTACGTGTGTGCAGAGTGCGGGGATGTATCAGCATCGTTCAATAGGCTCAATCTTGACCATTAGTTGTGAGGCCTCTATATAGGGAGAGGGGGCAAACCATTTACTTTTCTGCCATCAACCTTGCTCACAATCCAGTGCAACATGACAGAACTAAGCATATTGAAGTTGACAGGCACTTCATTCAAGAAAGAGTGGCTTCTAGAGAAGTGTGTCTACCTTTCATCACCTTTGAAAGACAGTTAGCTGATTTCCTCACCAAGGGCATTTCCAAGGCTAAAGTTTAGCATGATATTGGCAAGCTTGGCATGATTGACAGTTATGCTCAAATTGAGGGGGAGTGTAGAGAAGATGGGCCGAATGGCCCATAGGCTGCTTATCCTTCTTTATTTTTTATGTTATTTGCTGTAATGGACCTTAATTTGGGCCTTATTCTTTTTTGTGTTATGTTTCTTAAATTTCTACCCAAATAGGGGCCTCTCTGTAAATTATTAAAGTTTAACTTAATGAAATGGAATTAGGGGTGTAAGAGAGAAGGTTATGTTCGAAAATCTCTCTCTCTAAACTCTAATTGCCACCACCTTCTTCTTCTTCTTCTCTCCTCTTGAAATCTGATTTCTGCTACTTTCTTTTGAATTTTTACAACTTTCTAAACAATGCTTTCTTTTCAAAAGGTTGTTTTTCTTCTGAATGATATTCTTATTTTTTAGTTTTCTTTAAGTTTTAGTTTTATAAATTTATATAATTTAAAAAATGAGTTCTCAAAAAACACATTTAAACAGGTATATCAGTATCATATCGAAATGTTGATCCATGGTCTCAACTACCATTGTAGTTGTACATCAAGAACATTTCACCACAAAGGACAAAGGAGATGTTCCTAATGGCTGCAATGGTTGTTGGGACCGGTGTCTGGACTAGATCCAAATACTATGATGACATATGTGGTGTCCGATCATATTAGAAGCATATTAGGAATTGGGATTTTCTCCTCACAAAACACACCTCAGACTAACCTCACAGGCACATCTCATCATGTACTTGGGAACATCTCCCATGAATATTAGACACAAATATGAGAGATGCTCACAATGTGCGGTTGAGACATGCTGTGAGGTTGGTGTGAAGAGCAGATCCCGACTCACATGTTGGGGGCAGATCTGGACTATCATTGGTGGGGTAGTGACATGTGGATCCTCACAACTCCATGAGTTAGGAGTTGGCATCTGCTCCTCATAGAGCATGCCTCACGGCGTATCATAGCAATGAGTTGGGAACATAATACCAAGATTCAAATTTAAACAGTTGATAATCCGGACCCTCCCTCCCACCCTGAAGAAGACAAAGTTTATTCTTATTTCACATTTCCCTCTTATTGGATCAGTCTCTGCTTGGATCAGAGGAACCATGTTCTTTTGGCTTAATATTTCTTTAAGCCAAATTTGTTTTAAAGACAAAAGGCAAATTTGATTGGAGTGGTCACAAATTTGTTCTAAAGCCAAATAATTGTTTGCAACCCCAATTACAAAATGACAAATCTTTTTCTGTTTTGAGCTCATTTCAGCACCAAACCAATTAAAAAGAGTATTGATCAACAACAGATAAGGTGAGATTAATCAACAAAAATCACATCCACCCTTCGTCCAACAATTACTAATTCACTAATTTGTAATGAAATTAGACACAACTAACTGCTTACAAATTACAAGTGTCTAACTAAAAAAAAAAATCAAATAAAAAACAATCAAAAGAAAAATATCACACTGTGTGGTATATGCACTACAATATTATGTACTAGGTATATAGCTAGCGACCCTGTGCAAGCTCTGAACTCAAAAATTCTCCTTGTGGAAATCAAACCTGGTCGTCGTCTTCCTGGAGAAGTCTTGTGCTAACCGTCGTAACTCGCCGGTCAATCCAGGAGCCCCACAGTAGAACACCCCTGCAACAAATTAAAACCCATCGTTAGTTGGTTCTAAAAAAGCCCAGTGATCATGAATGGAATTGTTCTGTGTTCAGCGTTCAGACGATGGAAGGGAGCTAGTTAGTTGCTTACCGACGCGCTGATCAGTGTGGTTAACGGCGACGTGCTTGAAAACATTCCGCCAGTTTGGCCTAGCGAAGTGAGTCTTCACCTGTGTCCCGGATACAATATCTACACCACTCTTGGCATGGTGGAGCGATTGGAGCATGGTGATGAGCGCCGACCGAGCATCACCTTCCTCGTAGACACTGGTGCAGTAGTTGTGAAGCTCGATGACCCCATCTCGGTCATACTCTGCAACCTCATTCAGTACTCCCCTGAACCATTCAAATGAGCCTTGTTCACGGGTAACCCAGTAGAAGTAGGCTCGTTTTGTGGCAAAAGGTTTCTTCTTGTTGTCCTTGGATCCAACTTCTACGGCACCTTCCTCAACGTCATTCTGTTGCTTGATGTTGTTCAGAACGTCTTTAACTATACTGATCAGTGGTGTGGCTCCAATCCCCAGCCCAACAAGGAGCAGGACATCATATTCTTTGTAGTCCTGTGCCGGGGCTCCATATGGACCATCAATCAACAGTCTTGGCAACCTGCTTGATTAACAGACATCATATGAGTTTCAGAGTTCAAACTGAAAATTAAAGCACAAAGAACACTCATGGAGTACTGAAGAAAACTTTACCTCGGGGGGTTGGAGCCTGTTTTAATATCAGCTCGCAGAAGCCCACTCTGGTCTTCGGTTGGGGGTTGACACACCTGCACGTGTTTAGACATGAAAGATTATTAATTGCTTGCTAAAACACACACAAGAGAGAGAGAGAGAGAGAGAGAGAGAGACAGTCTGCAATCGAATTGATCATACCTGAGCAAAGACAGCTTTGAGCTGCGATGTCCAGTCACCTAATGTGCGAATATGAATGCTCAGATAATCATCTCCGGGGGCTGATGTAATAGAGAAAGGATGCCTGAAGAAAGAACATAGCAGAAACAAAGCATGATCATCAGTAACGACTTCAACCAGCTGCAGAATTTTTATATGGTAGAAGCCAAACAGAATTTTGCTCAATTATGTGTGTACCATTGCAAAGAAGAAACAGCGGAACAGTTGACAAAGATATATTGCCCGCTTCTGTACTTAAATCCTTGGGGTTTAGACATATGGAGTGCTAACACATTTCCTGGATAGACGGCAACCTGGGGAATTGAAAATGAACAGAAGTAAGCACAAGGAATTAATGAATCTCCACTGTAATATCTTGCAATTGATAATATAATCTTGGGTTTTAAGAGAGATTTGATCTTAATTACCTTCAAAATCTTAACTGTCTTATAGCCAGACCGGAAGGTGCGAATCAAGCGCTCGCATGCATACAATGTGACTGGTACTGCGAGATACATCCATGTCTGCAATTGAAATACAAGTAGAATTGCTTCAGATTTGGCCTTAATCGAGGATCCAAATACTGTACTAGTAAGTGAGAGTTAAAAATGCTTACAGTTTTCTTGTACCATTTCTTCTGGAGGTAGAGGAAGTAACCATGAATGACGAACAGGACGTAAACAATAACAAACAGGTGGTGGGAGTACCAGAAGGCATTGAAACCAGTAAGCTTCTTGAGGGATTTCGGAAGCCTGAGCCTGTTCTTTCTGAACCAAGGCTGGGCTAATACGTACGCAATGATCATGAGCACCAGCATCGTGACCCCAGTCCAACCCTCCGTTCCTTTCACAAACCACCAATAGTTAGGAGGGCGTTCCTCACCGAAGAAGGGCTTCATCGGCTCATACTCTGCATCTGTGGCGTGTAACAGACGTGGGAAATCGCAGGTTATGTGAGCAACGGCGTGGAGCCCTACTCCGATGGCAATCCCCAGAGCGACGACCTTGTGGAAGTTGATATTGTCGTCGAAGGGAATAACCATTCCCAGCTTGGTTTTGCTTCTGAGCCATGTTATCGTGTTTCTGCAAACCGGGAGGAGAATGATGGCCATGTTGAACTTGGTCGTCTCGGCTCCGCCCTTGGCCGTGGTAACACAGTAGCCCATGATATCGAACACGGCCCGATGCTTGTACTGGATGAACTTCCATGTGAAGAGGCCGACGCAGATGGAAACCCAGAGCGCCAGCACCCAAACTCGCTTCCAGTTGTCCTCAAGGAAGTAAGCCGCCTTCCGGTAGTATCGCTTGATGGGGTTGGGCTCTTTGGTCGGAACCAGCTTTTGGCTCAGCAATTGGCTGAGGTTACGACTCTGGGTCATCCCTAGATTCGTCGACTGACTGGGCGCTTGCAGCAGTAGCATCTCCAAATTGTAGACCTGTTGGACAGTCCCATACGAACATCGTTAACACAACCCAGAAGCTACGAACAGACTGTACAGATTTCTGTAAATTTCAGACTTGCTTGCAAGAAGAAGAAACCACTAACAACCGACCTCAATGTAACCCAGGTTATTAGGGTCCAACTCTTCCATGATCATGGCCGTGTACTCATCAACTCGTTCCAGAATGCTTGACAGCTTGTTAGCCGAAGCACTTAGCGTGATCAGCTGGAAACAATTCACCCGTCAGCATCATTAAATCATATTATTAGTCGATCAATTAAGCACCGAAATTTGACTAAAGGCTAAGTTTGGAAGTGCTTGTTTGAAAAATAAGTATTTATTGAATGACATGGTGGGCCAGTATTTTATTCTGAGAATAAGCACTTAAGCTTATTTTCCAAATGCCAATAATTACTTATTGTTGTGGTCACAGTTCAAAATAAGTACTTATTCGAAAAAGTACTTTTTTAAGCACTCCCAAACTTGACTTTTAAGCAGTTTCTAACCTCTTTCACTTCTTCTTCCGTGATTCTCCCGTCTGCATTCTTGTCAACCCTGCATAGTTAATGCCACCAGCTAGCTTAGTTTAGGCTTAGAATGATCACATGCATGCTTCTAACATTTTCCTAGTTCTATGATTCTATCAAGAGTTTGCGAATTAAATCCGGTGGTTCGGATTTCAGATCATCTTATTATGTTTGACTTTGACCATGGTGCATCCTCCTAGATCTCCTTGACCAAAATGACCTCCTCTTAACGACACTGGAATTAATAATTTTAAGGGTATTGAGGGTAATTCAAGCAAATATCTCTCTTACATGTCAAAGAACGTCTGCAGCCTGGCGTCGAAACTCTGATCGGTTATCTGCTCCCAGAACTCTCGAAGCTCGATTTTGGTGATCAAGTGAGACACTATTCCTCTCCTACGAGCCAGTGCGTCGAATAACTCAGTCGCGAACTCGCCCGAATCGTTCATTCCTGGCAATGAAATCAATCACACCAGAGTCCATAAGCTTTTCTGGTTCGCCACGCACACTTAGAGAAAATAGGAGAGATAAAGTCAAATGATTTTACCTATGCATTTACCAAACCGGGTCCTGGGAAGTGAACCGTCTACCTGCAACTCGTTAAACCGCCTTTCGACCTCGGCCCAGCCATCGGAGCCGACGTTCTTGGTGATAAACTGGAGGCCTCGTAAGGCACGGGTGGCTCCCGACTTGGTTCGATCGACCCTGTTGAACTTGTTGTTGGAAGTAATGCGCCGGAGCTCCTGTGAGACCTGCCGTATCTTCATGGAGAACTGGGAGCCCAGAGAAGGCCGCCGCTCCAGACGGCTGGCCAGTAATGCCGTCTCCGGGTCACCTCCCTTGACGTTGTGAACCGAAACCGAGTCGTCTCGGACGTCCAGTGTTATTTCCACATAGTCTTCCCCGTCTTTGAACCTTGCGCTTCGTCTGTTGCTGCTTCTCTTGTTGCTGGTCAGGGGGCCGCTCAGAGGGCCACTGAACCCAACTCTCGCGCTTCCCGTGTCCGACTCGGAGCCCGGATCGGTTTGGTAGCCTTGGCTTCCTATTTCACTCCCTACACCCATCTTTTCTGGAGTCTGATCGATCGTCCTCAGAACCTGGGGGTTCGGAATTCTGCAAGAAAGCACAGATATCCATGCATCAGTAGTGTTTCAGTTTATTAAGAGAGAAAACCAGAGAGAGAATGTTCAGAGAGTCAACAAATAAAAAAAAAAAAGTGTCGCATTTTGCTCAGAGCTAGGGTCTCAGAATTGAAGATGAAGAGTTCAACAGAAAACCCAGATAGATAACACTCCCTTACACGAATTATATAATGGAGTGATATCAATGTTCAGTGACAATGTTCGACGTTATCTTCAAAGAAAAACACAGACAGAACCCGATATTACGGAGAAAATCAAAAGGGTAGAGTGGAGATGAGAGGTTCGGCCGAGTGGTCTCACCAAGAATTATATTAAGAGGTTGTTGTCGACGAACACAAGACAAGAACAAAGAAGATCTCTGCCGGCCTATTACGTATGTTGTCTGCAGACAGAAGATGGGGAGGGGCTTGGGACTGAGAGGAGTTGTTGGAGAATGTTGAATGGGTGGAGAGGGCTTTTATGGGTGGCGAGGTGGAAAATGGAACGAAGTCAAAACAGAGAGAGAGAGAGAGAAATCTAGGGGCGTAGTCCGGTGGTTTGTTTTTTAGGGGAGTTCCGGCTTCCACGCTTGCTTCAAACTTCCAGCGTAGCACCGAAAGATCCCAAGTCCCAACCAACCAACCCAAACTCGTCAAAACACGGAAACAAAAAAAAAAAAAAAAAAAAATCAATCCGAGTTTTACCAAATTAGTGCTGCATGTGTTTATACACGAATTTTATAGAGAAAAGTTATGAATCTAATTTTTATCAATTTTTTAATAATTAAATTCATTATTGAGATATAGACATAAAATGGGAAGAATAAGAAGTTGGCAAAATACTAGTTTATGATTCGTATACAGGTGGTTTGATTAGACTAATTCTTTCACCAGGAGAAATATATAATAAACTGGATGATATATACGGTGGCCTCGCAACTGTTCTACTACTACTACTACAGCATGACTCATCAATGGAGTCACAGACTCACAGGCCGTAAGGTAGTCAATCTGTCCAGCCCACGTTCCCACCCACGAGACCGAATCAGCCCCCACAACATCCCACAATACATCTCTGCCGTATATTGGGAATATCTCCCGATCATGATATCATCGTTCCTGATATTATCATCGGAAGATGTTTTCAATACACGACAGGGATGTACAGTGAGACATTGTGGGGGGCTGATTTGAACTCCCCACCCACCAGCCCGAGTCTTCTTTGGTATTCCAATATTCTCAACTCAGTTCACATCTGGGTTGGGTAGTTCCGAGTTTTGTCCGATCCTTGATAAATATGGTCCGTTTGGTTTGCAACAGGGGTTTAAAATCGGAATTGCAATCATCCATTTAAATTTCAACTATTTGATTGAATGGAAGTGAAATCTAATTCTCATTCTTATTGAATGGTATTCTTGAAGTTCAAAATACCCATACACTTTGTGTTGATTCGGTGGATGGGGTGTATCAATACCCCCGTATATAGCAGATGTGATGCAAAATTTTGATCTTTTTTTTTTCTTTATTTGAGAGAATAGTAATTCCCTCCCCCCTCTCTTGAGGACAAGAATCTCATTTCAACCAATTCTGATTTTAATTCCAATATCCATATGAATCAAACAGGTAGAGAAACAGATCATTCCGATTCCAATTTCAAAGAATTTCAATTTCAATTATAACTATAAATCAAACGGACCCTTAGGTTCCCTGAAATAGAACTGTGTTGCTGTGTGACCTCATATGGGATAATTTTGTGATTTGGGTCTCTCAAATCATAACCTATACTTAGTCAAATATGGATAGTGTACAACACATTATCCACCAGATTCAAAATTATAAGAAATAGGATATCTTTGAGTCAATGTAATTAATCAACGGAAGATGTTGGAGTACTGACCTTGCCATCTAAAGTTTACAACACACTAGAATTAGATATTGTCATTGATAAGACTTTGACAATAAGAGATGGTTTTAAAAAACAACCTGGAAACCATGGTTTTCAAAACCGGATCGGAAAAACCAGGAATCGGTCATTTGATCGGTTTCATTTTCCCCCAAAACTATTGATTTTAATCAGCAAATCGTTGAACCGGCCGATTAATCATTCAAACCGTTCGAATGGTTTTGATCGTTTTTTAAATTTTTTGATTTTTTTGTCAGAGCGGGCCGGTCGTTCGAACTAGTAACTGGACTCCTGACCGGTTCATTTTTAAAAACCATGCCAAAAATGAAACTATTCTGGCCACCGGTTTTTGGGTCGACGGTTTGACCATTCGGTTCAAACAGACGACCTGTTCTGACAAAATTTAGAAAAAAATAAAAAAGAATTAAAAATAAAAATGGACAAAAACTGTTGAATGGGTCGATAGTTCGACTGCCCAAGTCAACAAGTCATTGACTGATTCAACGGTTTTTAGCCATAAACCGGGTTTGAGACAAAATGGAAACGATTGCCTAAATGGTTTCTAGGCCGAACAATCTAACCATCCAGGTTAACAACAGTTTGAAAACCATGCAATAAGAAAGCTTACTATGCTTAGAATGCCGAATTCACATCGGGGGCACTCCCACAACGTTCTACAGCACATCTCCGCCGTGTATTAGAATTATCTTCCAATGATAGTATCAGAAATGATGATATCATAATCGGGAGATATTCCCGATACACGGCACAAACACAAAAATCAAGAATAAATGGTTATGGGGATGTGAACTCTATAATGTCTGTGTTGGATATCTGTTAGTCAAATTAAAGCTTGGAATAAATGCTTTTGGCGAAACCTTGACATTCATCAAGAGTCAAGACACGGTTCATTTGATTGAGGGTAATGGTCACACAACACAAAAGTCACAAATTATACACCTGGGTCGGGTCCTACTCCTACCTTACCTACCGCGATATGTATGCTGCCCGTGATCGATCAGAATTCAGACAGACAAAATTGGTAAAGTTGGGTCAAGTGTGGGACATCCATGGACCACGGCCATGTATGCAATTCAAGAAGCTATCTAGAAGAAATCGGCTTCAATGCTCACAAGATTATAAAACAAAAAGCTTACAGGTAGGAGGATATTCTCAATGTTAAGGCCGTAAAAATTGTGTAAATGATATGAGTATGGTCTTATAAGTATTGAAGCCGATTTCACCCATAAGGCATGACCTATGTTCATGTACAAGTTGTGGTTCGACCAGAACTCATCCGAATAAGTTGAAAGAAAAACAAAAAATGGTTGGGAAATTTTTTTTTGATTTTTTTGGGCCAAAATTAAAAAAAAAAAGAAAATCATTAATGTTAAAAAAAAACTTTCCTAATCATATGGCTCTCACACAAACCAAGATAAATGATAATTTGATTAAGATTTAATCAAGCACCATCATAATTTTCCCTAATAATGTGGATTAGTTAAAGAAATTGGATCATAATAAAGGGCTGGTGGAGGAATATTGAATAGTTTATGAAGAAAAGAAGGAAAGTAGTGGATTACACGATTAGGTCATTAAGCTATAATTGATAATCCATTGGATTCTGTTCAGTTTATTATTTAATATTGTATTACCACCCTCGAGGTGGGACTGTCCTGTCGGTCGGTCCAAACTCCAAACACGGTTACTTGGTTTCTGGGTCAATCTGTTTGACCCCGAATTACTAATATCATGTGTGGAATAAGGTCCTAAGCTAGCTATAAGATACAAACTACATTTATAGGTACAAATTTGAAACGGATTATTTGGGTCCATACGCAGCAGTTGACCACGCCCGCCAAACCTATTCTTTCTATCTCTCTCTCTCTCTCTAAATAATTAAACCCACCAAACCCAACTTGGTGTTTATAAAATAGTCACAATACAAACACGTTTATTGATTTGGATAAGGCTATTCCTCAATCTTGATGATGAGTTAAGGGTCCAGATTGATGGGCATGTGGCTACAAGCCTATAGGCTACATGGGTTTCTTATTTTCTTAATACTAAAAGTTTTCGAATATTAGTGCGACGATGTAATCGAATTCAAATTATCTTATTTTCTTAATTTAAATTGCTTTTTGTTTCATTCAAATTTTCATTCTTATTAAAACAAGTTGTTGATGAATCGGCTTGATATTGACAAAATCTTGTTCTAGATTCGTAATCATGGTAGTTGATAAAAGAAGAAGTTATCCAGAACAACTGGGCAAGGTCATTTTTAGGGTAGAGATGACGAGAAGATGACTAGTTGAGGTCCAACGGAAAAGAGAATGAATAAAGGAGATCCTTTGACAGATTACCAGGTTTTGATTCTGTGCCCACTGAGTTTCACTCAAAACCAGTCAAATTTGAAGGCCAATGTCAGTATTTGAGCTTAGAATTATGAGAAGATGTCAATTTTAGAATCTTCTTTGCCACCTAACCACGAGTTGCTTCCTCAAAATTTCTCCCGCCAAATTCCTCATTGTTCCTCCTATTGTTTGGAATCGGTCTTTAGGTCAGTGGTTCGACCATTTGGTCTAAATAGATTGATCAGTTACAATTTAAAAATAAAAATAAAAATAAAAACAGCTAAAAATCGTTTTTCTGAATCAAAGGGATCAATGATTCAATTGCCCATGTCAATGGGTCCTTGATCAAATCAACGATTTCTTACAAAAGAACAATATTCAAGAGTAAAACGGAACTGATTGTCTGATCAGTTTTCAGCTTAAACGGTCTGATGGTCCGGACCTAACCACGGTTCAAAATTCTGCTGACCAGACCGCACAAATGTTGAAATGATCAATATAAGATGTCATGTTGGTTAATAGAGTAAGAACTGCTACACATCAGCTATAATCGTCATCATCTTGATCGTCCTTGATCGGGTCAAGCTGCTGCTTTTCACATCTATTTAGTGAGACCTTGGTAGTTAGGGTTTCTATCTTTCGAAGGCTTTTTTTTTTTTGCCTTGGGTTGATGTGTGTGACAAAGAAAGAGAAAGAGATTGTTGGTTTAGAAAGCGATGGAGTTTTTTACACGTGGCAACTGAGGTGAAAGTTGTTGAATGGGTTTTCTCAATAAGAAAAGCAGTTTCCTTTAGTAGGATGAGCTAATCTCCCTCAACTTTCCGTTTCACTCTTGTCATCTTTCAAACCAAACATAGTTTTAGGGTACTAGAATTAGAGTTGTTTAGGTGGAGTCATATGCAACACCACAAGTCTTTATCCAGTGCTATAGAGGTCAATTCCACTACACAGATGACGTAGCCTTGGGTTAAAACTGGGAAATCACAGCCTCGGATGTATTTTGTATGTAGAAGTATCAATTGGACTGGATTTAGTTCAATCCGATCTAGTTTAATGTGAGTCCATTATAAATGGACCAGGTCTAATCCAATCTAATGACTGTTTTGGACTAATTTAGATTGGTTCAATTCAATGTCAGAACCGTCCAATCTATTCAAATTCATTTTGATTTTGATTGATTTTAAACCAAACATATCTTATAT